AGGGAAGTGCGGCTAGGGTAGGCAGGGCTGTGGGGTCCTGGTGCCGTGGGAGCTCAAGGGCCAGGCTGGGTGCTTGACCTCCGCTGCCCAGGGCTGCAGGCAGTCCGTGCCACTGCCCATGGGCCCCCTGCATTTCCTGAGGCTCAGTGAGGCTCCTCCAATGGACCATGCCTGGGCGCTTGCCCCAGTCCCACCCCCCTCCGCCGGAGACTCTCAGATCTGGCCCAGTCCTGCCCAGGCCAGCACAAGTGTCCCTGACGCAAGTGACGGTGAGCTGGCCACGCCCACCCAAAGGCCACACCCATGCCAATCACACCCACCAGTAGGCCACACCCACCCAGTGGGCCACACCCACCCAGTGGGCCACACCCATCTGGCACCCAACGATAAATAAGTGGGATTTGGGTTGCAGTTTGGGCACTCGGTCTCTAAAAGGTTCGCCATCACTGGCGTAGTGTGTTACCAATTGTTTTCTTGGTGACTATGATCCCAGCTGCCTTGAGATCATTGACAAGATCCTCTGTGTACTTCTGGGCTGATTCCTCATCTTTCTCATGATCATTGAAACTCCACGAGGTGAGATCTTGCATGGAGCCCCAGACCAAGAGAGATTGACAGTTATTTTGTGTTTCTTCCATTTGCGAATAATTACACCAATTGTTGTCATCTTCTCACCAAGCTGCTTGGCGATCGTCTTGTAGCCCATTCCAGCCTTGTGTAGGTCTACAATCTTGTCCCTGACATCCTTGGACAGCTCTTTGGTCTTGCCCATGGTGGAGAGTTTGGAATCTGATTGATTGATTGCTTCTGTGAACAGATGTCTTTTATTCAGGTAACAAGCTGAGATTAAAAGCACTCCCTTTAAGAGAGTGCTCCTAATCTCCGCTCGTTACCTATATAAAAGACACCTGGGAGCCAGAAATCTTGCTGATAGGGGATCAAATATTTATTTCACTCATTAAAACGCAAATCTTTTTTTTTCAAATGCATTTTTCTGGAATGCTTTTGTTGTTATTCTGTCTCTCACTGTTAAAATAAACCTACCATTAAAATTGTTTTTTTTCATTTTTTTAATTAATTTTCTATTATTACATTTGATTAATGCTTAATAAGCATCGTTTTATCTGGGTTAATTTGTTTGCTTAATAATACAAGTTACATTCTTAGTCTCTACCCCTTTTTTTCCAACCATTGATTAAATAAATTCCATGTTTCAAAATATTCTGTATCTTCTTTCTCTTTGATCTTCAATGTAAGTCTGTCCATTTCAGCACAGTCCAATATCTTCTTGATTATCTCTTCATCTAGTGGTGTTTCTTCATTCTTCCAATGCTGAGCAAATACAATCCTCGCTGCTGTTAGTACATGCAATGTTAAATATACACTTTGCTTATCACATTTTTCTGGTAGTATACCTAATAAGAGACTGATCATTTCTTTGTCAGTGGGCAAATGTACAAAATCAGCAGGAGATCAAATATTTTTTTTCCTCACTGTAGATTATTGAATAATGCTGAAATACACACGTGAAAATTTGGTTTTCACATGAACACATTTGCTGGAAGGAAAAATGTTTAGCAATGATTTTAGTGAGGCTTGGGATGCCTTAATTTGCAGAATAAGCAGGATATCTGCATGTTTATTTATTGGTTTTTACCTCTGATCTTTGTGAAGGGGTCTCAAATTCAGACTTTCTTTGGAGTAAATCTGGGGGAAAAAATAATCTTCCCTCCTCAGTTTTTAGCTATTATGCATAAGTAAAATCTGAAAAAATATTAAAGGCCAGCCTTTTCAGTATTCGAGAGACAATCTGCTTGAGTATAGAGCAGGGTGGGACCCACCAGTCAGGTGAGTAATGTATAGACCTGCTGAGTCCAAAGAACAGAAATACTTGTTAACCCTTCCTTTCATCTTGAACGTTTTCCATAGGTTGGCTTGGTGCTGCAATAATCAATTTTCTCCGAAGAAGGGCAGGCGGAAACTGAAGGCTGGGCCAATTGCCAGTATGGAACTGCCGTCCTCATGGTTCAGAGTTCCATGGAAGTGACAGAGTCCTGGGGAGGAGCTGGTGCCCACTGCATTGGCAATGTGACCTGACATTTCTGATGATTGTATCATGTGCCATGGAGCACACCATTGTATTTCTGCCAGCTCATGGCCTTTCCCCTGCCCCTCATACAACATGATCAAGGGAATGTAACTGCTGAGAACTAGCTCATGATTTTACAATTGGCATATATTGGAGTTAACGGGTGAATAATAAAATTATATTATATATTCTATATTTTAACAATGCTGTTCATCTGAAGTGGAAAATGTGGTGTTACCATCAGGCAGCATAGCTTTTTAATCTTAGAATTATTGTTCAAAGAAATATTAATTGCCTGATGGCTTATTATGATGATTTTTGCAAAAAAAGACCAAAAATTTGGCTCTTTGGATTTAGAAGAGTACAGTGCATTCCCTCTTCCCAAAAGAGGTGTATTCCCTCTTTGTGATGCAAAAATGATTCTGAGCTACAGTACATAATTGGCCTAGTTAATGGAAGTTTTAAAGCTGTTTTCAATTTTTACATAGCGCTATGGCCTTTTTAATTCCAATCCCTTGTTAAGACAACTTTCTTTTAAAAACCAAAGGGCTATTTTAATGATGGATGATCTTTACTTCATGGTGGAATGGGGTATGAATCCCAGCTATTGTTCCCTGGATGTGCACTAATAAAACTATAGTATAACATTTGAATAACCAAATGTACAGTTTGTGGCTTTTGGTTTATGGAATCCATACTTGGTTCTGTTGGGGAAATTCTCCAGTTTCTTCCAATTGTAATGGGGGGGATTTAATATCATGAATTGTAGCTGTTCTCTTGTCAATTCTGATCTCCATTTGTTTTCTAGCAATAGTATCTAACATATCAACTATTCTAAACTTAATTCTCTGTCTTGTAATCAACTTATGTTGTCTAGCTTTGAAAAGAACTGTTTATGCCTGTTTCCTCCAATGAAAATTGGCTGATAAAATCAGAAGCTCTGCTGGCAATTTTGCTGGTGTTCACATAAAACTTAGAACAGAAAATACCAGACAAGCTAGAATGAAAATGGCAATGTATAATCAAAATGTGTTCAATATATTTTATAGGATGTAAGAATTTTGTGGGTGGGCTAAATATTAGTTAGGCTATATAGGTAGTTCTCGACTTACAACCACAATTGAGCCCAAAATTTCCACTGCCTAGCAAGACAATTGTTAAGTGAGTTTTATCCTATTTTATGACCTTTCTTGCCACAGTTGTTAAGTGAATCACTGCAGTTAATTAGTAACACAATTATTAATTATTCCATCTTGGGGAAGGGGCTCAATTTAGCTGCCCAGTTAAAACTTAATTCAAAATTTGACTGATAGGAGTGAATTTAGAAGCAAGCATGCTTAGGAAGATATACTTCTTTGTCAAAACCGGCTTTTGGATATAGTTTAGTTCATATTGAGGAACTTGGTCTAGACGTTTGTACACTGCACTACAGTTCCCAGCAGTCCAGGCAGCAGGATCAATGATGAGGAGTGCTGAGATTTATAGTTCAATAACATCTGAAGGGCCTTCTTTCCAGTGCATTATTTCGAACTATCATGTCACAATACGGTATGACAACAAAAACTAAAAAAAATCTTCCAAAAGATGATTAGTATGTGACTACGAAGGTTAGTATCTTCTCATTTTTTCAGTGAAAAGCTTTGATTATGCTGTGTAAATCAAGGTTATTTTATCTTGCAGAGATTAGTTTATTGGCATAATGAAATGCCTGTAATTATAGATTTTTTTACAGTACTTCAGGGAAAATACAATGATAAGGGAGCCCCATCTAGCTATATGACTTTTAAAAAACATCATCTACCGTATTTTTCTGTGTATAAGACGCTATTTTTTCCTGCAAACACTCTGTTCAAAAATCAGATGCGTCTTATACACGGAAAAATAATGGTAACCTCCGCAGCCCAGGGCATGCCTGTGTGGGTTGCCATGCTGCCTGGTGCAGGTGTCAAGCCCCTGTGGGCTTGCCACTAACAGGAGGGGAAGGGGGCAAGATTGTCGGCCGGCCGAACTTCCAGATTTGCACGGAGAAACTTACCTGCCAGAGTGTCTTATTCAAGGGTACATCTTATAGACGGAAAAATACGGTATGTGATGGTTAACAGATAAAGTGTAATAAACAATATAGCACAGAATGTCTAATTCAAGACTTATATACTGCCCTCTGTTTGCTTTGGAGAAAAAAAGGCATTTTGGAAATTTAAAACAAATCTTGTGGAAAAATATTATATTTTCTCCAAAAACCTGCACATTTCTTGTGTCATTCCATTCAATTAGTGAAAGAGATCTATACTTTTTTAAAAAATCCTTCTATTTGCATAGTTAGCTTAATTTTCATGGTGACAGTACAAATGGCAAAACCTCAGTATGATCTCTCTGCCTTTGCTAAGTGTCCAAGTTGCCTTTTATATATTATGGAAAATTCACTGGTAACTTTTTTTGGATTTAATTATTCTCATATATGATGTGGGAAACATAGAAAACAATGCTCTTGCTTTCATTTGAATGAAAAATGTTTCTTCTCTAGGCTTTGAGAGCTTTATTCTAATATCCACTTATATTGCAGAAGTGCTGCTGAATCCAGATTCTGTACACACTTTGGAAGACCAAATTCTAGCATTTTTGTTTGGTTATTGTAGTTTTATTTTCATTTCTGTTACAGTTCTGGATGTGAACCATGTCAATGATAACTTTGGTGTCCCAGGTCTCTTGTGCATGTTGTGATCCCTTTGTAGCATTTGCTGAATGTGAGAAACGCATAACAACCCTTTTTGTCCCTTCTATGCTTCATGAGGAAGAACTTGAGAACTTAATATTCATCAAAGATCCAGTTATAGCATTCCATCTTTAAAAATAGCACATTTAATGCAAAAATATTAATTAATTTTTTTTAGCTAGCTTGTATCCTAAAAATAAAAGTAACAAGTATAGCAATACAATAGTTGTTAGGATAGGGCAGGGGTAGGGCATAAATACAGGACCAGAAATAATGTGCTAGCTGAACATTAGTGCAAGTACAATCTCACTGTATAAGTTCTTGTATGGATAGGATGTACTCAAGATCTCTCCAATATGCTCAAGCATGACTGACATGAATCCATTGTCAAACCATTGGACAAAACAGCAGATCATTACTTAGCATCATTCTACCCACATGCCTGAAAGTTACTATTCACTTTTTCAGACCCTGTATTTTAGACCTTCTTCCATCCAGCCTCTAATAAATAATTGAGTGATTCAATAATTTCATATGCAGTGATTAGGAGAATGACATTCTCATAAATTGCTATTTACATAATATGGGCTGATTCTCCTGCCTCTCATAACTTGCAATTAAAAGTGACATGTAAAGAGTAGGGAGACTATTGAGAATGGATAATTCTTAATCCTGTGACATGGTAAGAAAGTTGCCTTCAAAATTTGAATGGTTTTATATAAGGAAGCAGGTTTTCCTAAAGTATAGATTGGTAGGGTTATATAATTTAATTGATGGGTTAGCCTGCAAGAACAAGGATAATTGGGTTTAAGCAAACTTCTAATTTAATGCTTGACTTTTTCCTCACTATCTAGGTATAGAATCTTAAGTGACGTGTAGTTACTTGTGATAAAATGCCACAACCATTTCAGATTGATAAATCTTCTCTCTTATTAATAAATAGCTATAAAATTATTAAGATTTAGGTTTACTTCTCAATTTCTGTAAGACAAAAATAACAGGCTTCAGTTACACACCTTGGTCAAAGTGCTGTTGTTGCCTTGGTATAAAGTTTTCAGACAATTTGAATAAATGAGTTTTGACTTACGCATTTGCACATTAAAATGTGAGTGGCTTTCTCCCTAAAATATATTTCAGCTATACTTGCATTACAAAGTACTTAGCATTTTTCAAACATGTTTTGACAAATGGGAGAAAAGCTTTTATTTGTACACAGCCTAAGGAAATCTGTATTTATGATCTTACCTGCTTTTCAAAAACAAAACAAAAACCTTGTGGCTAAATTTGTTTATACAAGCCAGAAGAATATAAAAAATACAAATTAATCCCAATCAATATTGCCCAAATTTCACACATTAAAGGAACTGATCCCTCAGAATTTCTCACAGCAATAACAGCTTTACCCTTTTTGTTGTTTGGGTGTTCCGTGGAACTTGACTCTGATTAAATTTCTCTGACTAGATCTTTTGCTAAAATAAAATGTTATTTTACTTATTAAATACATTACAAACAACAATCTCTTTAACATATATATATATATATTTACAAAATCAAATTCTAGAAGGTGTTTAGGTTCATAGGGGTCTTTTTTCCATTGGAGAAGAGAGAGGGGTAGGACAATAAACACATGTCAGTGCTTCTATACATGGAGAAACCAGGTCTGGATTTGTAAACTGCATTCAGTTTAAATAGGCTCCAGCAAAAAAGTGCTAAACTCAAAAGTGAACTTTGTCTAGTGCTAAATATCACAGAATATACAGAATTAAACAAACATAACAGACTTCCTCGTGTTTCAACTATTTAAATCCATTGCAGAAAATTAGCCATTTGATCACTTGGTCACAATCTATTCTGCAGGAAAATCTAGAAATGTCCAGGAAAAACTATTTTTTATTAATTTCTACACTTATAACCCATCTTTCTCTGAAAATCTCAAGAAACATGGATTGCTTCTCCGTCCACATTTGAACTTTGTTTCATAAAGTCACAATGTTTCAGTAAAGTTGGGATTTGACTCCAGGCCAATCTCACTGATTGGGTAGGAGGCCAATTTAGACTAGTTTTTTAAAATTGCAACAATAGGTTTCTATAGTACAAGTTATGTGTAGCTGCTGTTCAAACCCCCCACCTGTTGCCCTATGTTGTCTTTTGCATCCTGTATTGTTGCCAAGAGATTGAAATGCATGTTGCATGATAAGACGTTACCATTGGTTGGTCATCTTTCCTTCTCTCTGTTCCATAAGGTAAGGATATGCCCATTATTTATTTTTACAAATACTATAGGAGAAAAATATGGAAACCTGAGCCTCACACTTCTGATAGCAGCCCAAAGTACACCCATAAAGGAAATTTGAACTTGTCTAACAATAGGTCTGAGCTAATTCCATAGCCTACCTCTTCCTTGCTATGTCAGGATTGATGCCCCAGATTTTCCAAACCAAGTTAGAAGCTTTTAAGAGATACTTCCAAAATTCTGTAGTAAACAAGCCTTCCCCTGTCTAGAAGTACTAATTATAACCTGCAAGAGAGCAAGCGGCTGCTGCTTCATGAGGTGGATCTAGTTGTAAGAAGGAACATGGGAAGGAAATGGTCATAGTTTGGAAATCTGCCTAGAAAAATCGGAAGGGGAGCAAATCCAAAGAATCTGCTGAGCCAAAAGGGAAATAGGAGCAGTAGCCAGCCAGACCTCTTGATAGCATCTGATATCTTTGCTAAAAATCTGGGTGGTGAGAATAATCATTAAAGAATTTTACTTGAAGCCTCATTGAAAATATTCATAAGTAGTGCTAAAATAATTACATACCCTTCTTGTTCTATGTATGTTGTTATCCAAACTCAGTTCTCAGATTCATTTGGCTTCTTTTTGAATGCTTGGGAAATACCTTGCACTCTATTTGTATTGAGGCTGAACAGCCAAAAACTAAGAACTACTAGGCTGTATGATAAAAGCAGCTACTAAATGTTCAGAAGTTGCTTAGTCACTAAACTGTAAATAGTGAACCAACTCTTTCAAGAAACTATTGCAAATTATAAACTATTTTATAAGGTACGCTACTTGAAATGCTTTGAAAAAACACACCAAATGAGTTACTACTGTTTCCTTTCATGGCATCTTAATATTTACTGTGAAGCTGGGTGCATACTATAAATTTCCAATGGATTTAACTTTCATCTAATCCAAGCTGCAGTAAATTATGAAAAATAAAAAAAAATCAGTTAAAATTATACTCTTATAACTGCTCACTTGGAACAAAATCTCACTAAATTGTTATAGACTGCCTTTCCTCTAGTAACACAAAACAGCTTGTGTATGTGTGTTCCCACACTTTATCATCACAAGAACAATCATGTAAAAAGTAATATTGAGAGGCTGTGATGAACTTGATGGCTCCCAGTAGGAATATGATAATGTAAGATTGTAGTGTAAAATCCTTTGAGATGCATTATGACAGTTTAACTAGCAATAGCTAAAACAGCTACTAGCCGCCAACAGCTGATTTTAATTTGTGCTGAAAGATTAAATGCTCTAAAGCTATATATAGTTCTTTCAAATTCACTAGGAGAAACAATATAGCAAAAATAATTTCATCCTTAATGCTCTGGTGATTTTTTTATAGTTAACAAAATGTTCTAAGGGAAAAATAATGCACTGCTTCGAATCTAATTTCTAAAAGTATATTTCTCCACAAATGAGTCTGAGAATGTATAGGAGTACTCATATTTTCCTTAAAGCAATCTATGTAAAGTATCAAAATAAACCTAAGAATAATTATTAGTATTCATCCAGAATAAAGACCATACAAATACATATGTTTTGAAAAGCAAGTTAATACTAATTTTGTCAAGCTCCTTCAAGAGAATAGTATTTAAATCTCATTAAAATAGTCTTGGAGTGTCAGGAAAAGCTAAGTAGATGAAGTGGGGTGCAGGATTTTCATATATCTGTTATTCCTGGCTTGTAATTAAATTCAACAATCTTCTGTCTTAAAAGGTCCCAACTACTGTTCATTATTTGAAATATGATCTTTGAAATAACCTAAGTTACATGCTACATGAAGTAGTTTATTTCCTAAACAAATAAAGACCCAGTTTCATACCCAATCTCCATTCTGGCCTGTCAAGGTGCATATACTCAAATCAGATTCCAGATCAGTTGGGCTAGCTCAAATTCCTTGTTCAGTTTGTGGGTCACATTTCACTCTCTTAGGCCTTTACTACAAAGGTCGCACCACCTTCACTCATTAATCTTGGTCACAAGTCCACCTATCTCAAATCCTTAGATTTTAATGGACCTAGCCCAAGTTTGCAAGATAACATAATACATCTTTTCATTAGGCTTCTTCTATTGTGACTAACAAATAACAAGACAATATCTACCCCCAGCGTGTATTTTTGCAGGGCACTATAAAGAAGAGAATAAGGTGGAATATTTAGTCAGATTAAAATCCTGTCTAGGAAAGCATTCTAGGACTCTTTAGGTTAAGTAGTTTTTGGCTTCAACTACATGAAGAATGTTAAATTATGACCCTAATATAATAGCTTGAATATTCAGGTGAGGATTGACATCATGCTCTTCTCTCAGTCTGGATCTTCTGGCTGCAACACTTTGGTTCTTCTCTGCTTCCGACCCTATTTGATTTAGTAGCAGGTGGCATCCAGAATTAGCACAGCTATGCATCCATTCTTCTGAGGGCTCATTGGACCTTCTCAATCCACTTTCACATTTTCCAAATCGAACCTTTATTATAGTTTTCACATCTTCCTGCATCTAATGTGTACAAAAAGTGTAGCTGGAGATAGGGATGTACCATCCCTGGAAAGCAAATGGATATGCCGGTAGCCTGAAGAGAAAATTACAGGAGGATGTCTGAGAACAGGTCTATGGTGCTCACTAACTAGTATATATTTCTTCTACATGACCTTTTCTGTTATATAAACTCATGGATTATTAGTGGCTAGAATGCAGTATTGCAGGCTAATTCTGCTGACTACTAGGGGTTCAATCCTCACCCGCTCAGTTGACTCAGCCTTCCAAGGTCGGTAAAATGAGGACCCAGATTGTTGGGGGCAATATGCTGACTCTAAACCGTTTAGAGAAGGCTGTGAAGCACTGTGAAGCAGTATATAAATCTAAGTGCTATTGCTATCATGTAGCTCATAGCCAGTTTTGAGGTAATATTAATCACAGAATAATCTAAATAAATCTGTAATCTGATGTCTCTGGGAGTCACATCAAGTGCAGCAATTTGCAAATTCTGCAGCCTCTGATCCTAAGATGTCTGAAAGGTAATTGTTGAAGCAATTTAATACTGAAACCTTGTTTTTAATACATCTTGCTTTGTGCCATTGGTTAAATTCACTTCACAAATTTGTTCTACAGGCAAACCTCTATGTAGAGCCCATCAGGGCTGGTACTTTAGGGTGGTGGATCTATTCAACAGATGTAAAAGTCCACTAAATCAGAACTAAAACCAATTAAACAAAAATTGTATAGAATTTCTGCTACTTCTTGGATTACCATCAGACTCTTCTAGAGACTGCACAACACCCTACTTAAGCTTTCTTGATTCTGGAAGAAAAACACTCACCTTCCCTAATGCTGGGCAATGGTAATGTAAACTGTCCCACAAAATCATTTGATGAAGTTGTATCATAATCTTCTACTACAAAGCGCACCAGTGCCAGGTCTGGAACTTGTATCTGAAACGTCAACATCTCATTCCAACATGGATTGAATCCTGCAGAGGGAAAATCCAAGAAGTAGAACTTCAAGAGAGAAATAGTATGGAGATGCCTTGTTACAGCCAAATTCCAGTATAACGTATACTAAGAATTGCTTTAATCTAGCAAATTTAAATTTTGAGTTTGACCTTTTTTCTCCTCTATCTAGTCTTTATTTACAAATTTTCAAGTTCAAATACAATTTGTTTTTGACAAAATGTTTGCATTCAACAGATGATGTGATTTTAATAAATGCAAATACTACCTTGGGTGGATATAAGATGTTGCCTTATCATGTACCTGGCTAAACATTCACCTGCAATAACCTTCTCCTAATTCTGTTGAAAGGAAAAGAATCAATGAAGAATCTGAAAGATCCACACAATTTTCTTACCCCAGCACAAAGATGCTCACTCTACTTACTCCTTGCTGAGAGTGTGTCCTCACAATACTATTATAATGTCAACTCACTGAAAATTTGGAAATAGCTTTAGGTCTTCCTGTGTAGAAGAAGTGCTTTACATGTTAGGTCAGCACAAGACATTCCATGCAGATAACTGAGGTTTTCAGAGCAGGGAGGATAGGAAGAAAGCATGGCAAAAGCATTTGTATGGAGAAGCCAACTCAGAATAAGCCAGTTTCTTATATCAACCCTGTGGCTGTTGTTTCATTGATTAAAGGTCAAATGAAAAAAAAAAACATGTCCAGAGGACTTCTTCAGACTTAACTACTCATGTTTCCTTTTATACGGAAATATTAAGAACTAACCCTGAGATTTTCTTCCAACTGTAGCTTTGTTCCTCCTCTAGTTCAATAGCAGGGACAAGGAAATCATGGTCCGTTAGATGCTGGTGAACTAACTGTCCACAATTCATGATTATCCATCATGCTGGGTGGATCCAATACAACCAATAATGTTTGGATGCCCATAGATTTACTATCCCTGTTCTCCTTATTGTTTTCATTCCTAGGCTTTGTCTCACCATTATTTAACCGATATTCAGTTTGTTTCTTGCAGCAGTCTGCAGGAATTCCATGAATCTCAATTCGTACAAAAGGATCAACAATGGAAGAACTCTTCTCTTTATTTAGTTTGGGAAGTTGCTGAGCCGTAATCACCTGAAAGGAGAAAAAAAATCATAATAATCATTTCTGCACTCTCTTGGCAACTTTTAAAAACAAATAAACAATGTACACAAAATTGGCTGAATATATTAATTAGTACAATCCTAAAATCAGAATTAATTTCCATTGGTTGAATTATGGCTAGAATGGCCAAATGCAAACAAACAGAAAAGGGAGAGGGCTCCTACACTTATAATTGTTCAGTAGAAAAGAGAATTTTGGCAAGGGGTTTGCAAAACTACATATTTGCCACAATGCCATTTTCAATACAGATAATGAACGAGGGCTATTTGCTCACAGCTCTTCCAAGAAAAACAGAAGTCTGCAGTCTTTGAAAATGATGCAAAGCTATTTTCCATAATTTAATATATACATCTGGGCTGCATGATAATATATTCCATCAGAAATATTGAAGTCTGACACCAAACACAGTAAAACCTATTTAATATTTTTTAGCAAAGAGAAAAAAATTCTAAAAAAAAAAAGAATTTAAATGGTTTTCAACCAAACTATCTTACAGAGTTATAAGATACAATGAGGGAAGCAAATATCCACACATGTTGCTTTAGGCTCCTAAAGGCAGGTCTATGTATTATTTCAAAATCGTAATAAAGCAGAGAATGATTGTTACAAGTAAAAAGGTGACATGATCTGGATGCTCTTCTTCAAAATTCTATTAACAGAGTATTGTAAAGTATCCCTTTACAATAAAAAAGATCTCCTGGAAGCCCTTTTATGCTTGGCTTTTAAATAAAAGTGTTTTATATTGAAGGTATGCATGTTTCAGGTTCTGTCGAACCTGGAAATGGTAGTACATTTAATTATCGTCATGACTATAAAGCCAAGTAATAGGATTTATACAATGACGTTTCTTGTTAAGTCTACTGTTCCATCCATTCAACTTTCCATTTATATGCACCTAAATAAATATAGCAAGCAATTCAAAGAACATATGGGCATCTTACATTCTACTATACCTTGATGGTGAGGGCAATGGGGTGCTGGCCACTCCTATGAATGGGAACCTTGGGGTCAAAATTACTCTGGTTATTGCGTAAGAAAGCAGGTTTCAGCACATAGCCACAGCAGCCATTCACCAAAAAGCGCCCATCATTCAAATCCATCTCAGCACCTGGTGTCTGGAAATTCAGGGCCACTAAAATATGACCATAGGAAAAAAAGTGATTAAGGTCATAAAACTGGAATATTATCATGGTGCACTTTTATAAAACTTTGTATCTACCGGCACATTAAAAAAAAAACTTAAGCAGCACTGTTACCTGGTGCAAAGTGTGGCAGCAAGAGCAGTCTTTGGTATCTCTACGATGGCCCAGATTATACCTCTGCTTCTCAAACATCACCAGCTATTGGTCTGCTTCCAAGATATTGGTTATGACCTTTGGAGCCATTAATGGCATAGGTCCAGGCTACCTGATGAACCACTAGAACAAGCCCATCCTACTCGTGCCAATAGAGAGGGTCTACTTTGGATCCCATCAGTTAAAAAACTCTGTCAAGATCTAGAAGAACCTTCTGTGTTGCAGCACCCACTCTTTGGAACATATTACCCCCTAAGGTAAAATCTGCACCCACCCGCCTATCCTTCTGCAAGAGTGTAAAGACCTGGCTCTGCCAGTTGGCCTGGGGACCAATGCAGCAGTTCCACACAGGAGGTGGCTGCTATATTGATAATAGATTCCACCTACCTCCCTCCTTCCTTCCTCCCTCCCTCCCTCCCTCCCTCCCTCTCTCTCTCCATCATTTGGGTTATCATATTTGTGTATTCTCGTTGTGTTCCTTTTTCATTGTTTATTTTCTGGGTTCCATTATTTTACTTCTCTTTACACTCCTTCCATTCTCTTCCTTTTTATTATTGTAAGCCGTCTATAGTAGCCTCATGACAAGATAAGCGGCAAATAAATTTAACAAATAAATAAAAAATAATGAGGAATAAAATAGGACCAGACCTGGGAAGAATAAAGACAAGGATATCTGTATTCAATATACTCCCTCCTATTAATTCCTTATTAATTTGCAGAATCCTGGGATATATACATTTGTCTTCATTCTTGATTATTAATTTGCTCTAAGAAATGCATATTACATTTAATTCAAAAATATATCTAGGCTGCTGAAGGAAAGTACTATGGAACAAAACATTTTAATGCTTTGACTTTGCACATTATTTTAAAACGGGTGTCAAACTCAATTTCATTGAGGGCCGCATCAGCATTGCGGTTGCCCTCAGGGGGCCAGGTGGGTGTGGCCAGGGTGGGTGCAGCCTACTGGGTGGGCATGGATGGAGTGGATGTGGCCTACTGGGTGGGCGTGGCCAGCTCTACATCGTTTGTGTCAAGGGGGCCTGTGGGGGCCTGGGCAGGAGTGGGACAGATCTGAGGGTCTCTGGCAGAAGGGGGTAGGACCAGGGCAAGTGCCAAGGCATGGTCCACTGGAGGAGCCTCACTGTTCCTCTCAGGCCATGCGGGGGGGGGGGGTGGNGGGGGGGGGGGGGGGCTGGATGGTGGTGCGGGCTACCTGGAGCCCTGGGCAGCAGAGGTCAAACGCCCAGCCTGGCCCTCAAGCACCCGTGGCACCAAACCCATCCCCACTTCCCCAAGGGGCGCCCAGCTGCACTTACCTCCTCCTCAAGGCTGCTGCTGTGCTTGCTCTCCTTAGCCAGGTTGCTCATGATGGGTACAAGGGCAAAATCAGAGGGAGGCCCATTCCCTCTCCATGGGAGGAGATCCGGCTTTGTATCCAAAGCTTTCTTAGCAATAGGATGGGAGACCCCCAGGATAGGCCAGGAGGAGGGGGCAAGGGGATGGTGAAAGAGCAGCAGGGCAGGACTAAGGTAGGACTTCCCTCAGACCCTCCCTCTCCTTTCCTTCTTTCCTTCCTTCTTTCCTAAGTACAGAGTGGTGGGAAAATATTTGAGATGAGGGAGGAAGAAAAACAGGCAAGAAACGCAGCTGGGGAGGTGTCACCCTTCGTGAGGAATGAAGAAATGCACCATCACCTGGAAGTGGCCAGTGCGATGGTGCATTTCTTCATTCCTCACAAAGGTGACACCTCCCCAGCATGCACCCAGGGGCAGGGGCGACGTGGCAGGGGCTGGTTCCGCACTGTTTCCAGACGGCCTTGTGGAGCTAAGACTGAATGCGTTTCAGCATAGATGGCCACCATAAAATTATACAATGGCCCCCGGCCAGTCTGGGCCAGGGCCAAGGCAACGGGGGCCATTCCCTCACTATTTCCAGGATGGCTTCGCAGGCCACATGAAACCACTTCGCGGGCCGCATCCGGCCCCCAGGCCTTGTGTTTGACATGTCTGTTTTAAAACCTCAAGGACATAGCAGAGCATCTACTTAAAGTCCAAATGATCTCAGAGTCAGTTTCTTCAACTCTGTGACCTCAAGCCGACAACCATTGCCCATCCTATTCGGCTCAATGGACAGTGTTCTTTGTTTGCCTAAGACAACTTTTTCCAGTGAATAAACAATAACATGAAAAGATCTACACAATGCCAGATGCACCAAGTGGTCTGTGATATTCTCATTGGTCACTAGATAATGTGGCTACAGGCTTGGCCTCTGTTACTCTGCAGTGCTGCTGCTGCACAGCCAAAGGGATTAGTTAACATAAGGAGAACAGGGTTCCACAATAACACAGTTATGGTCTGCCTTTGTAGTCTGAGTAAGCTGCCACTCAATCATGGACTGAGCTCCCTCCAAACTGCTCATCCTCAACCCTGCTTCTCTCACAAGCCACTTTCATTTTTCAGGGTAAAGCAAGGATGACTAGGTTTGGAGATTCCAAGTTACTGGGAAGTACCGTACCCATCTCTCCTGCTCAGTTATTGAGGTTGTGGGTAATGCTCCTCCAATTTATGATTCACTTGTAAAATCAAAGCAAGTCCAAAAGAGAGAGTGATTGGGAGAGAGAAGGTGACTAGGAATGAAGTTCACGGCATGGATTACGCCTTCTCTTTGCTCTTACCAATCTGGCAGCCAACATTCCACATCTCTTGAGGGTTGTAGTTGGAGGAGTTCATCTTCAGACCCAGTGGGTAGATACGGCTGAGGTACCGGGTGTTGTATCGGACAAAAAGATTTCCTGCAGAAAGGAAAGAAACTTCCAGCCTTAGACCAAAAAGAAGGAAAGAGGCAGTGGTCCTGCTGTTCATTTCTATGCACCTAACAATGATGGAATACTACAAATAGATCTCACTTATCAATGATGATTGGGACCAGGAAGTCTGTTGCTAAGCAAAGTGGTCATAAGGTGAGATGTCACATCACCATGACAACTTATGATGGCAGTTCCAGCATTCCCAATTGCAGTTATTAAGCAAATCCCACATGGTCACGGCATCCCATGGCCATATGATCACCATTGGTGACCTACTGCTGGCTTCCCCAATGACTTTGCTTGTTGAAAGCTAGCAATAAAGGTGGCAAATACCAGTTTCATTACCATAGGACATTGCAACATTGTAACAGAGTGCTGGTTGCCAAAGATCAAGATCACATGTCCACAGAGACACTGCATCAGCTGCAATTACAAAGACCCATTGCAAGTACCCTTCATTCAGAACCATCATATGGTTCAGATGGTTGCTGTACACGAACTGGTATTATTGCAGATGACATTCTTTTTTTAAAGAAATTTGTAAACCTTGTACTGCCATCCCAATGTTGATGCAAAAGACTTTAGCAAAATAGTAAGTTACTCTAAGAACTGGTCCAAATTATAATGAAAATAGATGAAAAATACCCATCCATTTAAATAATATTAATACTTAATAACTATCTAAGGAATATTAATTCTGTATTTGTACCAAATACATTAATTATCTAGGTATATGAACACCAAAAGTTATAGTTCTCCTAACATCTGCCACTCCAAGTCAGATACTCCCTTGAATATGTTCCTCCAAATATCCCCTAAAATTTGATGGTAGCTAGGAAGCCCGTCTTTTCTGTGGCAGCTCCTGCCTTATAGAACACTCTTCGCCTTAGATGTTTGGCAGGTCTCCATACTTTTAGCCTTCCATAAAGCTTTAAAGCTGGCTTTTATCTCAAGTGCTGGGATAAGATGAGATGACTGCACATCAGAAGTTTGACCCAGTTCCAGGTTTTTATTTTTAATGGATTTAGTTTTTATAGTTTTAATGCTGCTTTTATGCTGTTTTAATTTTTGATTAAAAACCACCTAGAATTGGTTATAAGATGGGCAGCTATATAAATGTTTTGAATCAATAATAAAAATTATAAATAGAATATATAGTGAAGTTTCAGATATTGATAAATAGTATATAATAAAATAAAATATAGTATATAATAAAATAAATTCTTGGTTTAGAAAATATCTGTGGGTGTTCTTCGATTATGCGAATATCTTTACAGAAAATACAATTACCAATTAATGAGGGAAGACTTGGTCTTCCTAACCTGGAACTCATCATTTTATTTATTTATTTTTATTTATTTAATTGCATTTATATCCCGCCCTTCTCCTTGCGGACTCAGGGCGGCTGACAATGATTAAAATACTAACATATACATCTAATTAAAAATTGATTAAAAAGAAATATTTAGATACGTCAAATTTAAAAGTAATTAAAACCCCTTTAAAATCCCTTAGGCCAGTCCCGCGAGCTGGAA